CCGTTTTTTTTTTTTTTTAACAAAAAAGGAAAGGAAATTGCATGGGAAATATATAATAGGAATTACACTTCTAAACATCTTCATGGATCTGAGCTTTGGAGACTACCCTGTTGCAATTTGGACTGAATAGGTAATGAATACTAGTAATAGTATGGTTTAAAAATCTAAGGAGTCTGGTAAGAAACAAAAGGAAAGGAGACAGAAGCCACTTCTGTTGAATATTAAAAAACACTTATGATACAGTTTAAAACAAAAAGTTTATGGCTATGTATAATGTTTCCTTTATCCACTGGTACCTATGATGTTTAATTTTATGCAGCTTTTCTTAGTACCTGCTTTTTCTACAAGACACACTGAAATACATGGAAGGTCTTCAGATGCAGTAATCTATCAAGACCAGCAGAAATCCTGTATTCCCTTAACCCCAGCTATATTGTGTCTAGATCATCCTGAAGATATGCATGGCAATCTTAATCATTTTTTTATTTTCTAATTTTTTCTGGTTTTTTTTCTAATTTTAAAAGGAGTAGGTACTAGGATGATTGTATGTATTTACAGAGCAATTAATGGATACAAATGAATGGTCCCTCTCTAAGTGTCTCATTCACTAGTTTTATTAGCTTGTTGAATATTTCCCATTTCTTTATTATTATTGCTTCCTAGCTCTTTTATAAAATTGAGCAAATATGAGAGGTTATCACTGTTCCTCTTGTTACTGCCCTTCATTTACAGACAATCAGTGTGATTCTCCATGTTTTTACTATCTTCCATGTAAAAGGGAGTCAAATCTGTAAAACGATGTACTTGTTTCACTCCTTATGTACCCTTCTTAATTAGTCAGAACTGTCCATTTTCATGTGAGACAAATCACCTGTAGGCCACCACAACAAAAGAGTCTGGAGCACTACTCAAGGTTACTTACTCTGTCACAATTCTGCTTCTACTTCATGACCATCCCTATGCTTCCTTGGTGGAAAGACCTGTGGTCAAAAGATGTACTTGAATAGCTTGTCTGTCCTGGATTTACTCCTGTTCCATCATAGTAACCTTTTGCTAAATGGATAGGATGTGCCTCCTGAGATCTGCTTCCTTACACAGAATATGCAGGAGTTTATTAGGAAAAAAAAGGACTGTTTCAAGTGCTCTGTTAGGTATTACTGTTCATAAGAGACAGCTGAGTACACTGTGAGAATTTGTAATGGGTGCAATACATCTTCTCTTGTAGTCAAATACAAGCTCCACTAATAAGAATGCAGACCCTTACTCCTTGTAATATGATTGAAACCCTATTTTAAAAGGAGAGCTGCTTCTTAAAGAAGCCAAATTCCCACCTCAGATTAAATATGATAGAAGGACTTTACACATTAGTGGTCAGAAGGTTTCATTCTGGATATGGAATGCCAAAAATTGGAGCAATCACTCCTGCTGCTTTCCTTTCAAAATTTGAGATTGAAGTCATATCCATAGCATATAGGCAACTTAACTAGACAAAACAGAAATTACAATACTTTATAATTTGTAGTTGTGCTAGTAGTGTCAAGATTAACTAGGTTCAACTCATTTTATGATGTTCACTTGCTTGAAGTTACCATACTGGCAGGGTAAGGTTGATGTTTCTAGATTTATCTCTTGCTTTTCATTGCAGACTTGTGCAAATGTGTGTCATTTCATTATTTTGTGACATATGAAAATTATGTACTTGTTTTGTTTACTCTGTCCTGATTTAATTAGTAGAATGTGATAGTTTGCCAGACTTTTGAATGTCTTCGATAAGAATTTTTTCATGTGTTTTTGATGCCTAACTTCTTTATGCTTTTAAAGTCTTAACTTCTAGCCATATTCTGTGTGAAATGCTGATGACAATTCCTTGCCATATTCCATGCATATTTTACCAATATGACATGCATTGAAAATACAGAGATAAGTGCAGGTAAAGAAAGAAGTAGCATAATGTAAATTGAAATAATCATAGTAGAATAGTTTGAGAGAGAATGGACAGGGGAGGAAGGAGGATCAGGAAGGAGAAGTCTGATCCGCAAATGAGAGTGGGCAGGAGAGGAGAATTCAAAGACAAACCAGACAGGGTAAGGGAGAGGTGGGATTGGTGGCAGAAGAGGGCTTGGGAAGAAGAGGACTCCATCCATGGGTCATTTTCAGTTAAAGTGAGCTGGTGCTGGTTTGGCAGCTTCCCTGGTGTTGAGGCCATGGGCAGTGTGGGTATATGTGAACCAAAAGTAGGAGGGATCACAGTTAAAAAATAAATAACCTCAAAATAATTTTCTTTTTCATGGACCTGCAAGGTGGAAAGAGCTTTCAAGGGCCCATGGGTCAGTCCAGGTCAAATAAAGCCACGTCCAAAAATACTCTGTGGCAGTTGATACTCAAACCAGCACTGCCATGCTGGAGCATTCCTGTATTGATGCCTATGTTGGCCCTTTTTGAAAGGACGAGTGTTCTGTGAAGGGATTTGGCAGCAAACTGCAGTCCTACCCATGTTCTCTGAGGTCTTTGAGGAAAGAGGGGAGATGACAGCTCAGGAAAGCAATCACCTATATCAATGAGAATGATGAATGTGGAAGGGCAATGTTAGTAACTCTACAATGAGACATCAAGAGAAGGTGATCAAAGTAAATATTTTGAAAGAGATTAAAGAATGCCTCGTATATTTGAAGAATATATAATAAGTCTTCAGATCAAAGCAGAGTCTCAGCTATTGAGCTATTTAAGAAAGTTAGTTATTGGTTATATGTGCTAGATAACGGAAGACTTATTAATGCTGTAGAAAAGCTTGTAAAACACACAGAAGAATTTGTAAATGGTATTTTTGTGCATCTCACGACTTTTTCTCAAGTGCTCTCATCCTCATATATGTATTGTAAACAGTTATTTTTAAGGAACATTTCCAATGCCTAACGATTTTATTCTCAAAGCAAATAGATTTAATTAAAACCTCATTAAACACTACACTAGATGCCTGTGAATTATAAATTAAATAATGAAAAATGTTGTAGGAGTTGTATTCCCTTATTTCAGTAATATGGCTGTATGAGTAGAAAATAAATTATTGTTAATTGAACAGAACAATGGAGGGGTACTTTATAGTGAATTTCCCTTCAATTTCTCTTATATCTCAAAAAAATGTGGTTTTCAGACAGGAGACTGGGGAGAACCTTCAATTACCTTGCGACCTCCAAATGAAGCCACAGCATCAACGCCTGTACAGTATTGGCAACATCATCCTGAGAAACTCATCTTCCAGTCATGCGATTATAAAGCATTTGTAAGTGTTGATAAATTTGGTGGTTTGATTTGAGGTATATATATTAATCTTAGATTTTGGTAGACTGTTGTTTTTTTTTTATTTATAGAATTTTTTTCAGTCACTTTTAATAAGACAGGCCCCTTCTTCTGAAATATTGTAGTTGTAATAAACAAGAAACAAGGATGCACAGTACTTTTTGCTATAAATTTTGTGATATTTTGAAGTCCATGTAGCAACAGTGTTAGAGAAATGACAACTGAATAAGTGGTTAAGTATTTTAGAAGTAACAGTGAGAGCAAATCCCCCTACTTCTCATCTGTCACAAATCTCTGTCTGGTAATTATGGAAAAATAATAAAACATGTTATGGGATCCTTATGCCTGTGTTAATGCTGTGTGCACAGTATTTTGAGTAAGTATTGCCTCACCTGAGTTTTATACACTTGTTTTGAGGGGAATGGATCTAGGGAAGATGGAGATCAGGGTCTTGAAGCAGTTTTCCATCAAGAGGACAAGGACAAATTCAGACCTCTCCCAAACTGTTTGCTACTTGAAGTACCAGTAGTAGTCAGTTACTTCAGGGCAGAGTGTATTTATTTTTGCCTTCTGATAGCTGTAGCAAATTCCCACTTCCCATCCCTGGAGAAACAGAGCTTCCCTCTACAGCTAAAGATGATTGTTGTTCTCTATCTGTTTTAAGTGTCTGTGAAGGAGAGCAATGTCTCCTGAAGTACAGAAAGTCAAACTGGAAGACTTTGTTTTTAAAATGAAAAACATTTTTCTGAGCTCTTGAGTTCTACCTGTCAACAAGGTAGGAGGGCTGGTGCTCCTGGGGAGCTGCAGAGGCACCTCAGCCCATTTATTTAAACTCTTACATTTCCCCTTCTGAATTTGCTAGAAAGCACTGTTAAAGGGCAGAAGGTGCTTCCTATACCACTGTATCCTCTTCAGAGGTGGCCACCTAATGAAGCAAGGCTAACTTACTTTACAAAGGAAAGGGGCTCAGTAGTTGGTAGTGCCTTAGCATAATAGGTGGGGATTAACCACTTGTCCAGGATTTGGGTTTTAGACCCTTTTCATCCAAAAAAGCTTGGTTCCCTAGTGCTTTTTAGGATAATGCTGTATTCACCAGACACTGAAGTGGTTGGGAGAAGAGTTGGGGACTGATGGACCTGATTTAAAGACTATCCAGAAAGGTAGGCATTAAGAGACTTAAATGCAGGTGAGGTAGAGCTCACCTAGCTCTCACTGATGAGAGGCAGAAAGGGTGTTACAGGTCTGTCTTGATAGAGCATATCTGCATCTTCCAGCAGACCTTCATGGAGTAGAAATTGACATGAATGCAGTGACCATCCTGGATAGTAACTGGACTCTGCCTTCCTCAGTCAAGGTCCAGCTCGCCTGCTCTCATTCTTGCTCCCCTGTGCAGCACCTTAAACTGAAAAGGAACCTTAGTTCTTTAAATATTTTTCATAGTTTTCAGCAAAGTGGACAGGTTTATCTCAAAATTGCCTCTTATCTCATTACTTGATCCAGCAGGAAATTCATAATCAGATGTAAAGTCTGTAGTAGATAGGAAGATGAGTGGATCATTAAAGAAATGAAGTGGGGATGCTGAGGAATTTCCAGGGTACTGGTGATTAAGGAATTGCCAAATCAAAATATCCGTGTTGAGGAAGCTTCTTCCTTTCCTGCACTATCTTAGCTCTCTGAGCTGTAATGACCTCAGCCTTATGGAGTAAAACCCTGGGGTGGAAGTTATAGCAGGGGCAGCTTTTATGGTACACCACATCACTCAGATCAACTGTTAGATGTCTTCTGCCTTGCTGCTACACACTCTGGGTCTTTGAGAGGGAACTTTTCCAAATGTACAGCACATCAAAGGAAAGCAAAATTCCCTCTTAGAATTTCAGGTTTTTCTGACAACTAAATTGGACAGTACCTCTGTGATTTAGTTGTCTATTCCACAGTCCACCTTGGGAAGTGTTTCTGAATGCCTGCAGCTGAGGCTTTTTGCTGCTGTGCAGGTGGGACAGGAGTTGCCTGTCTATTCTCTTTCTTCCTCTTGTTCTGCCATGAGCTCAAAAGCACTGCTTTTTTTCCCTGATGTCTGACCAACTGGTAGCTTCCAGTGAAACACCAATTTGTTGTGCGATAGCCTATTGAAAACAAACAAACAAACAACGATCAAAGAAATTAATTGCATCCTTGCCAGAGAAGGCTAAGGATGCCAAAGGTGTCAGACAGCAGGATCCAGAAGAAGGTACTGTTCAACTCGATATACTTTTGTTTCATTTTCTAATTTCAGAGCTTGCTTTAAATTCGTTGTTCTTGTGCAAGGACAATACCAAGCCATCCCATCAAATTAATGCCCAAAGCCCTATTCACGTCACTGTCAAGCCCCCAGCTGGACTCACAGCTGCTTGGTTTATGAATCTTTCACATCTGCAGTCCTCCAAGAATGCCCTTCATTTGTTCCTTTCTGCTTGTGCTTATCTGGTAGTGTTGGTGGTGCTCGCCCTTCCATTTATAATGCCTTGTAAAGTGTTTCTCAGTAATTACCATGTTGGCTACTGTCTACATTGAAATATTTATGCATTTGCTTGCAGGTCAGAGACTTCTCAGTACGCAGGGTGAACTGAAGGCTTTAAAGAAAATACCTCAGTTTAGGTCAGGAGTCCAGAGAGTTGAACCAGTACGCTTTCTGTTTGGTTACAGCTTGCATTCAGCTGTAACTGAAGGTATTTTTGATAGGGTCTTGTTTAAGATGAAGCTGGTTCACTATCTGGTTGGATAGTGTAGGCTGTTTCCAAGGGGCGTCAGTGTGGTAGAATGAAAGGGGTCAGGCAGTGGTGGTGGGCTGCAGCATCCTCTGGGAAGATGCTTCTGCCCACGGCTTGTTCTCTCCTCCTGCAGCTCACCCACCCCATTCTCACCAGTGGCATGGCTTCTCTTCAGCTCCAATGTTGCTCACTTAGGACTGAAGACTTAAGACATTGCACTGCAGTGAGAATGCCAAGAGAGATCTCTGTGGCTGGGGAGGAGAAGATGTGGGGTTTGCTGTCCACTTTCCCCAGTTAAGCCAGACTTGCATGTGACACCATTCAGAAATAAGGAAATGCCCTGTTTGCACAGAGGTACATGAGCATGTGCATATCCTCAGATGCACACACATGGGGCCTCTGCAGGAGGAGTGCAGAGCATGGCACTCACACAGTCCTGCTGGCAATAACTAGACTGCTTGCTGCTACTTGAAGACAGCGGGGATGGTGCAGCCAGCTCCATCCCTGGGGAAGCAGCACCACTGAAACTTGGTGTAGAGAGGTACTGAGACCCCAGAGGAAAAAAATCCAGAGGAGCACTGCCTCCTGTCAGGGTGCAGGAGGGCTCAAACTGCACATGTGAGAAAGTGAGGAAGAGGCAGGTAGGAAAAGAGGTGTCATGAGGCACTCACTGCCATGTATACCCTCAGAGATGAGCAGGCTTCCCTCAGAGCACAGTGGCTTTCAGCGAGCTGAGCCAGGACCCAGCACTAGCACCCTGCTGCTTCCTCTCACCCAGGCCCCCTTCAAATCAGTAAAGGCTTCAAAATAATACTTCAGGGTCAGCCTTTTCTTAGGAAGAAATAATGGTTTAAATCAGTTTTCAGGTCAGATGAAATTTCTCTGTTTGCTGACATCAGGCTCTGCTATTTGCACATAAATTAGTTACAGATTGAGTACACAGACGTTAACATCGCTACTGGCCTTCACATCCACGTGACTGCACATATAGCAATATGAGTTTGGCAGATGGCAGCTAAAAAAAGCAAATTCTTCATTTTTTAATTAAGTGGCTTTTTAAAAGATGGAATCTGTAGTATTTGCACGTTGTTTGAGTGACTAAGGTGATAAGTGAGACTTCCAGGTATTGTTTCAAAGGCCTCCATCTGATACGTTGCACTTGTTGCTGTGCATTCCTGTTTCATAGGTTGATTAACACATTGCTTTAAATGATTCATCAGAGAATTACAGAGTAAAGAAGACCATAGAGCAATATACTGACTGCTATCACTATGCATTTTGGGGCATTTTTAGTACATTTTTGCAAATGTTTGTCCATTCTGGAATTTTAACTAAACTAAGTTCAATGGATTTTTATTTTAGTATTTAGGTTCTATGCTGGTAAAAGAGTTAAGAGGCACAGAATCAACACAAGATGCATGTGCAAAGATGCGGGTAAGTTATTAAACCTACTCCTTTCTCCATCACCATAATATTAAATCATATCAACTTGTGATTACTTTTAGAAATTTTTATTGACAATTTGTTTTCCATTGCCCTTACATTTCCATTGGTATTCCAGAGGAAGTCTTTTCTGCCTTGTATCTTGCTTTCAAGTAATACCAAAATTTAAAGGTAAATTTTTGGTTTGCATGTTGTATCTAAGAAAAAATAAAATGTATACATTACATTTTATCTTGAACCTCTGAGTATGTTTCAAAGTACTTACAACTTACCACAAACTTTAAATATGTCCATATCTTATTTCTTTTATAAGATGAATTTATAGCTCATATATGATAATCTAGATTGAATTTACTATGTGAAAATATGTGCTAGTAAATATAGTTACCAAAGCCACTATTTTTTACTTATGGTCAAATCCTACAGTCACATAATCCTATGAATGCTTTTGCTCACATGAGTATTCCCATTAATTATGAGTTACTTACATGCTTATTGATGGAAGGATGAAACGGTTCTAAATGACTTTCACCTGATGGCAGTTAGGTTTCCTTCAGACTGGTAAGAGTATGTTTTCCTGCAGCTCTTTAGGCTGATACTGGTTTGTAGAAAACTACAGTGAAGCTCGGTCTATCTCTAAGAAACATACTGCTGCCAGAAACTCAAAACAAGCCACAGGCCAGCTACACAGTTTATTCCCAACTGTAGTTGTAATAACAATGCTCCTGTTCATAGAGATGGCAAACATGGCCTGGTCTGGCAAGATTAATTAATGAGGAATATTATTGTTTCGTAATCTACCAAACATATAATACCACACAGATGAATGAATGAAATCTTTTCTTCTGCAGGTCATCATAGAATCATAGAATCATAGG